AATAGCAAGCCAAGTAAAAAATGCTATCAGGGAAGATAGTATGATTAAGAGTGCCAATGGTGGGTAATAAGCCATGGAGGATGAGGGCTGAGACTTACCATTGTATTGAACACTTGGAGGTCATTAGTGCCCATGGCAAGAGCCACTTTAGTGGAGCAGTGATGGTGGGGAAAGTCTAATTGGAAATAGATAATTGGGTGGGCCTTGAAGACAATTTTCAACAATCTAGAAAATTTTCTGCCAAAAGTAACAACAATGTGATAGCTAAAGTGGAGTTAGGACAATTTGGGTGTGTCTTAAAGATAAGATTAGTAACAGCATATTGATATACTATTGGGAATGATCCAGTTGAGACCAAGGAATGAATGATGCAGAGGAGCAGAGACTTGCTAGAGCAATGATGTTGGGAAGGTGAGGAGGTGAATCTCAGGTGCTTGGGGCAAGTTTGGATTTACATAGGAGCATGAAAAAAACAGAGTGTGAGTGCACACCCTGGGGTAAATGTGAAGGTGAAATCTAGGGAAGTTTCCTTTTGATTGTTCTACTGAGGTATTAAACAAGGTTATTAGCTAAGAAACATGAAGTGACAATTGTTGTGTTGGGAGTATGTTAGATTTCTGGATCCAAGTTGGTCAGAATTGGGGCTGTGTTCCCTTTCTGGGTGAGATGGTACCTTCTTTCATAAGGCACCAAGACACTGAGGCCAACCCAAGGGTTTTAGGCATAATGGGTGGCATCTCCACTTTTTTTTTTTTTTTTTTTGAGAGGATTTTGCTATAGGGTGCATGAGCTCACCAGAAAGACAGAGAGAGACAGAGAGACAGAAAGCAAGAAACCACCCCCAGGGGGGATGGCCACACCACAATCCCTTCTCCTCATTCTCCTCTCGGGTTCTTGGGCATGCATACACATGCACCCAGTGTAAGTTTAAGCCACCAGGTCTGGGACTTAAACTGTGGTCGACTCCATGGGAGTCCAGTGACATAGATGTTTGTAGTCCAGTGACATAGCCATTATGCCAACTGCTGGTACCAGCATCTCCACTTTTTTAACCCTCTGTTTATAATGGGATGTTGTGGGAAACAGCAGTTAGCGTAATGGCTATATCGCTGGACTCCCACGTAGTCGACCGCGGTTCGCGTCCCAGACCCGGTGGCTTAAAAATCACGCCCGGTGCGTACCCAAGATCCCACAGGGAGAATGGAGGGAGAAGGGATTGTGGTGTGACCATCCCCCCTGGGGGGTGATTTCTCACTTTCTTTCTCTATGTCTCTCTCTGTCTGTCTGGCAAGCACACACGCCCTATAGCGAAAACCTCTCCAAAAAAAAAAAAGGGATGTTGCAACTACCTGAGCAGATTTGGAGATCCAGATCTGGTGAGGTACACACTTGGCTGGGGAGACAGCAGTAGGCATAGAAGGGTGAGGCCCTAAGTGGAGGGAGTACCTTGACTTCTTATAACTGTACTACTATGGAAATGAAGGGTTTCTGGAAACAGACAATTACAAAAGGAGAGATGAGCACTCACAAAAGGGTCTGTTCACATCATGATATCCTTCCTCTAGTCTTTCAGCCTGTCAAATCTTCAGCATTCACATATGTACCTAGCATGTTTTAGGCTGACAAGGCCAGGGATTCAAACCATGGTTGCCATGTGGGATCGGTTTCTACTGGGCAACACATTACTGCAGCACCACAGAGTTGGCCAACAATTTTTGGTTCTTAATTTGAGACAATGTGAAAACACTTTTCCCTACTTTTTTAAACAACTTGCAATAGGGTGATTGTGCTCGCTGGGGAGAGACAGAGAGAGAGGGAAAGCAAGAAGTATCCTCTGAGGGGTAATTACACCACAATCCCTTCTCCTCCATTCTCCTCTCAGAATTCTGGGCATGTACACATTATCCGTTGGGTCTGGGACTTGAACTGTGCAGCTGGCCATGTGGCCTTAACCACCTCTCCACCTAGCTGACTCCTGCCTAGTCTTTTATTTATATATGTAGATAGGTAAATAAATAGATAGATAGACAGATAGATAGATAGATAGATAGATAGATAGATACTGTTTGTATATTTTGGAAATATGTCTATACAAATGTGTGTGTGTGTGTGTGTGTGTATTTATACACAAATATGAAAATATACTTATAGATAGACCAAGACAGCAATCTTGATTTATGAACAAAGGGGCTTTATACATGAAATTTGTAACTTACATCTTCCCCTTCTTCATTGCAGAAATTCAGATCATCTCTAGGGAGGGTCACAGGATCTTTGCTTATGAACAATAATCACAATCTGTTACTGCCATTTTTCCTTCTGAGAAGGAATCTTGACATGTTACTATAAAGGGGGCTTGAGAGACAGAAAATATAATTCAAGGTGACTTAAGCAAAAGGTGAATTTATTGACTTGGATAAGAAACTATCTGACTTCAAGCACTGTCAGATCCACTGTCCAGATGAATCACCAGGAACCTTTTAATTCTACTGAAACAACTCTATTCTTATGTTGGCTCTGTCCTTGTAAGGTGGAGTTCTCTGAGAAACAGATGCCAAGACAGGGTTAGACATGGTGATAATTGGGTTTCCATGTATCAGTTTCAACTGGATGTCCAATAGTCCTCAAAATGCCAGAAATTCCTATTTTCCCAATATGCCATCATCCTAGTAAATGGTTCCTTTGGTGAAGGATTGGGAGAAATACTATATGTATTTGCAGCAGTGTTGCAGAGTCCCTTTGAGTGAGTTGACTACATTTTCAGTGGATTCTGATTCTGAAAAACTGGCTCAAGTTTGGGAATTAAGCAAGGGATTATGACTTTTTATTGGGGCCATTGCACTCAGCCTCCTGCTTTCCATCCTTTCCCTTTTCTGGTTGTGGATTTTTGTGGGTGTGATTGTTAAACAGCACCCTTGCTAGCTGCCCCTCCATTTTCCTCCTGGAGATGCCATGCTCTATTTATTATCTCACACCCCACTATGTGTCAAGCCCCTATTGACTGCCCCTCTCATAACCCTGCATGGTTATCAGGTTCTGGCTTCTTGCATTTAGGAACCACTATTACTGACCCCTCTTACTTTGGGGGCCCTGTTATCCCCATTGCATAGTAGGCAACCCAGCTCTATAATTGCCTTTACTGTCAGTTTTGTTTGCAGAGGGCCACCACTGAACGTCTAAGACATGCTAGTGCCCTTCTTACCAGCTCTCCCTGGTAGCCTTGACCATCACTTTCTTCATGCTTCTCAGTGCCATTCAGTGACAAGTCTGTCCCCATCCTTTGGGTCTTGTCAGGGTATTAAATTACATGTACTATGAAAGTACTCCCAGGCAAAGAACTCTTGCTTATCCAGTTTTATATTCCAGCCCCTCAATCAAGGACTCTGAAAAATCAGTATCAGAGAACCTCATAACTCTTGCCAGTACAATACAAGCTAATTATACTTCATCTACTTGATGGATACAAAACAATAGCTTATTGTTGTTTTAATTTATAATTCCCTAGTACTAGCATTTTAAAAACATATATTATTCTTTTTTACATATTCATTGGCTATTTGGATTTGTTTTCTGTAAATGGATTCATCATATTCCTTGTCCATTGTCCTGTTTTTTTTTTTTTTAATCTTGTGAGCTTATAAGAGCACTTTCATATTATAGCTAAAAACTATCTGTTCTCCTCATTGCAAATTGGCAAGGAAAAAAATCAGCCTGGAACTCTGCACTTGTCTTCCCTTCTCCATCTTTATTGTTAGTAACTAGATCCAGAATCCACAGGGTGCAGTCTCGATAAATATGCCAGGAATGCGCTAGCTCTTTTGTTGGAGGCTGAATTATTAGTAGAAAGTCTTCATTCCCTTAAAAATCTAGTTCACATGAGCCATGTGGAACCTTATCCTGAAGGCCCGTGGCTTCTTCTGCCGCTAGCTCTTTTGTTGGAGGCTGAATTATTAGTAGAAAGTCTTCATTCCCTTAAAAATCTAGTTCACATGAGCCATGTGGAACCTTATCCTGAAGGCCCGTGGCTTCTTCTGCCGCTAGCTCTTTTGTTGGAGGCTGAATTATTAGTAGAAAGTCTTCATTCCCTTAAAAATCTAGTTCACATGAGCCATGTGGAACCTTATCCTGAAGGCCCGTGGCTTCTTCTGCCGCTAGCTCTTTTGTTGGAGGCTGAATTATTAGTAGAAAGTCTTCATTCCCTTAAAAATCTAGTTCACATGAGCCACAACTCCACCATTTATTTTTGTAAAACATGATAGATTGTGGTCAAGGACACATTTTCATGACCTAGTCTATCCCTTTTTCCACACACTTTGGGACAATAGTCCTCAAATTACAGTCGTTCTGGAACCACTTTCCCAAATTTTGCTATATTCTTTAAATCACATATTCTATTTTCATTCCTGAAATTTTCCTTTTTTTAAGCATAGGTTTATCTTAAAAGAAAAGTTTACATTGTTGCCATTATATCACTGTAACTACTTGTTATATTTCCCAGTGTACATCAGAATAAATCCCAAACTATGAAAATAAAAGATATTAATCTGCATACCACCGTAAGTAGGGTATTTGGGGAACTTGCATTAGAGTAGGCCAAGAGGATCACCAGTCTAGTAAAAGATAAGACTGTAGATTTTTGGAGCTGAGTTTCATGGGTCTCACCACTTATTGATCACACAACCATTCCTATGGATGGGGTGGAGGGTAAATTCATTCACTTCTGAGGAATGGCAACACAGGAGTGTTCAAATGCCTTACCTCCATCCAGTTGTGGAGATGGGAATCCAGGCCTTTCTCCAAAAGCAACAACATAGCAGGAAAAAGGTACAGGCATGGAGGGAAATAGACCTCAATCAAGTCCAGTGAGTGAGCTGTGCACAATGTTCGGTTCCCAGGAAGTGGAGCCCAGCACAGACCAGGGCTGCATTAGAATATTCTGTATTCCGACCAGAATATTAAGGGTTCTAAGGTTCTGTTAATTATGCTGAGGTCCTCAAGACCTGGGGCTCCAATGGTTCACAGTCCCTGATCTGCCAGTCCAGCCCTGTACAGGGTGCCCACCATATCCGAGTAGCCACGGTCACCAGGCCTAAGAAGCCATGTGCTGGCTGCGGACATGGGGCCAGATCCTCCTGCCAGTTTTCCTCTCCCTTTTTCTCATCCAATTGCTTATCAGCTTCTCAGAGAATGATTTTTCTCAAATCTACAATCGAAAGAACAGGCAGAAGCCCAAAGATCTGAATGAAGAGGGTGAGTAATCTGGAGCGCCAAAGGGGGTACCCCTCCATGTGCCACCACCATTCTTTCTTTTTGGTTGTGCCATCTTGATGCTCACTGAAATTTTCAGAAGTTGCCATTTGGTATTGGTGAGAAGACATTTTTAAAGGCTCTAAATGTTTTTGGTGAAATCCAGTTAAATTGGACTCAAATGAATTCACTTTATCTGAATGTAAAAAGTGGGTTAAAATAGCTTAAATGTGAGAAAATCATGTTCCCCTCACTTTTTGCACGACCTGTAGCATATAAGCTTTGTGTTATGAATAAAGTGGTGTGTCTTTTCCTAATCAGACCCCTTTCAATGGCCATAGCTCCTCTTTCCTATTGTTTTACATAACTAGTTAATAAATTGCATAATTTTTTTTCTTAAGAAATAATTACTTCAGTTTGGAGCCTTCCCTTGATTTTCTTCCCCTAACAGAAGACATTCTGAAATGTTAAAAGTAATGCTGAGTTGAATTAGTGAACCTGGAATTAAGGTTTTTAGTATCCTGAATTAGAATTGTATAGATAGAATAAAGGACAGAATTAGAATTATTCAGAGAATATCTTGTAAAGCCAAGATTGCCATTTTTACAAAGACTATACGACAGAATAATTATTGCTGTCTGGTTTCCAGAGTATAAAAGAATATTACTTAGTATCTATAAGTGAATCAGTTTTCTTTGTTAAAACCAAACCCATGGCTTTCAGCTTTGCACCCAAATAAGATTCTCCTGTGAGGGGTTGGAGGTGAGGGGTGAGGGTGGGGGCAGTAGGAAGCCTAGCTTGTTTCCCTTGATTTTGTGTTTCTCATAGATTTCATTCTTTTTTTTTAAGTCTGGTAGTCACTACCATACATATTCCAAGAGAAACTGTGTTCTAGTGCCATCCTGGCCCATTCTCCCCACAAAACAGGACCTAAAAACACAGACCCAAGTGTAGAAACAAATCCCTCCTGCTGTTTCCTAGCAAAAGGGATTCAGACAAGAATTTTTCAAAAGACATTATTAAAATGCTGAGGAAAAACAAAAAGAAGGCAAACAAAGCTATGAATCATAGATAACACTGTCTAGTCTATAAAGACTGAAATTTCTGATTCTTGCTAGATCAGTTCTAGCTGACCAACCCCAGTCCATGTATGTGAAGACACAGCTTCACTTTGCCTGGGAAGCCCGATTCAATATGTCATGGACCTCCCCCAAGAGTTTCCTAGCTTCAGGCAGCTTCCTTCTGTGCTTGCATTCAACCTTCCTATTTAATTAGGACATGGCTTCTTAGACATCATGATACTTTTCACTACCAAAATCAAGAAAGGGACTGTAACCCTGCATTGAGATCCTCACCTATATCCCTACTTGTGCTCTGAGTAACAAACAACAGACAGGACTTTGTGAAGAATCATACATCATACATCAAATCACACATCTCTCTAAGCAGGTCGCTCTGATCCTTGGGGCTTTTAACTCTGAGGTTCATTTACACTTGAGATACTACTAATTAATATTCCAAGAAATTATAGTTTACACTTGATGGAGCTTTAGTTTAATGAACTTCCCCAGGTCTGACTCTATGGCCTAGTGGCTAAGGGACCCAGATTCCACATGGCTGACAGTGTGCTTCAAATCCTGGCCCCATGGCTTGAAAAACAAGCTGGGCATGTGTGCAAGCATACCCAAATTCTCAACATGATGGAGAAATGGTGGAAAAGGGGTTGTGGCATGACCATGTCCCATTGGAGAGTGCTTTTCCCCTCTCCCCCTCTCTCCATCTCTCTGTCTCTCTCTCTTCAGTGCACCTACCCACTGGCAAATAAAAAAAAAGTAATAATAATCTTCTTCCCCATGTTTAATGAATAAATTTTAAAAGTACTAAAACATAGAGAAATGTTTTCAGCGTAAGTAACTAGATAACAAAGGAACATGGTTCAAAGATTAAGTGGCAGTCAAGGAAAGAGATGGAAGATTCTGGATCAGGGCAGAGTAACGCAGCATGGAAAGGCTCTGAATGCTACCACCACGCCTTAGAATTTACTTGTGAGTTGTTAAACTCCAAGAATTTTTATTAAAACTCTCAAATCTGGAGATGAACAAGCCGAGTGGATGTCCTTTTCTCTAACCTATTCTGAAGATCATGGGGGAAGAGACTACCAAGGGAAAATAAGAGAAGCGAGACCCTGAACAGGGGCCTGACTCTCTGATGAAACTCAAAGTTCCTGAGCTACAGGCTGGATTTCAGAATGACACTGAAAATAAATTGTTTTCAGTACTTGACAAGGCAAGAGAACTCAGATGAGGATGTGCTAGACTTTGTTAGGATAGGTGGCTCTGCTCTCTTTTCTGAGTTTTGTCATTTTCCAGTGCCAGGATTTGTTCTAGCTCATTAGAAGTATTATTTCCCGTTCCCGTGAAGGGGATACCTTCCTTTTAGTTATTTCTGTTCTGTCGCCTCTTCCCCAACTCATTTTCAGAATAGGGTAGTGAATAGGACACCTCTCAATTCATTCCTCTCCAGCTTTAAGAGTATTAGTGAAAATTCTTGGGAGTTTGACCCAGTGGTGGTCAAGGCTACTGGATCCCACATGACTGACTGGGCCATTCAAGTCCTCAACCTGGAAGCTTGAAAAACATTCTGGGTGCATGTGCGTGTGTGCCCAAAATCCTGAGAAGAGAATGGACAAGAAAGGATTGCAGCATAGCCATCCCTTTGGGAGGTGATTTCTCACTTTTCTTCTCTTTCTTTCTCTCTGGTGAATATACATGCCCTGTGGGGGAAAACAAAACAAAACAAAAAACACACAAAAAAAAGAAAGAAAAATTCTTGGAGTTTAACAATTCACAGGTAACTTTTTAAAGAAAATAGTCTTAAGGATAATGGTAAAGTAGTCATTATCACAACAAATGAAAATTCTGAACAAAGCTATCTAAGCATTAGTAGAATGAAAATAAACAATAGAATAACTATGCAGACTCTATATAATAATGAAACAAAATAATTATATGATGACATGCAAAAGACAACGTACCCAAAAAGAAGCTATAACTCAAGGAACAGATGAAAATTTCCCCACAAGTATTTTGAGCTAGACAACAACCAAATGGAAAATACATTCAGTGAAACAAGACTCAAAGTCGAAACAAGAAGAATCAGAATGAGATGAAAAGGCAGACTGCTATGAGGAAATAAATTAAAGGCCAAGTCATTTTGAATATGATGCAAGGTTCCACAATTTCTATCTTCATTTTTTTATTTCTATGAATGGTGAACACATCAAGACTATCCATCATGCACAATCTGAGTATACTGACTGCATTGGGCTTAGGGAGCTGCCTCCTTCCTCTGCCCTCTACGAAAGGCAGTGTCAGTATCTTGAACCTCACACCTAGAAGCCATAGCAAGACCATAGATGGCAGCACACAACACTCTCTAAAAACAGGACAAGGAGAGATTCAGAGAGTGGAGGTCAGCAAGGATGAAGAAGGCCAGTCACCTCCTGGTGCCATGGAAACTCATAGCCTTCACTCTCTGGAAAAATAGAGCCATCTCAAGGAAAAGGGAGAAGGAGCAAACCCTGAGTTTAGCTAAATATTTCCTTAAAGGATGTTATGTTTATGGACTGAACTTGAATTTGCAGACTAGCAAAAGCAGGGAAGTTAAATGTAGTTATATTGTAAAAGATCTGACTTTTCCCAAGGAGCGATGAATTCTGTCCCCAAAATAATGGAGAGTAATTTATTGTTACTGTATCTCAAAACAACTAGGATATTACTTGAAGTCCCTCTCTTATGGAGATGGTAGAGTACTAAGATGAGTTATTGAAATGCTTTTATCTAAACTCATAGTTTTAATTCTAGCACTTTCAGATATAAATTATATTGCTTATTTATTATTTTTTGAGAGGTTTTTACCATAGGGCGCGTGTGCTCGCCAGACAGACAGAGAGAGACAGAGAGCAAGAAATCACCCCCCAGGGGTTATGGCCACACTGCAATCCCTTCTCCTCCATTCTCCTCTTGGGATCTTGGGCACTCACGCACACGTGCCCAGTGTGAGTTTTAAGCCACCAGGTCCGGGACGCGAACCGCGGTTGACTACGTGGGAGTCCAGCGACATAACCATTAAGCTAACTGCTGGTCTATTTTTCTTTCTTTCTTTTTTTTTTCACAAAACAAAATGTATGAAACTCCTCATGGGAGAGGGGCAGCTTTTAAATCTTTTTATTTATTTATTTTTTAAATTTTTTAAATTTTTTAAATTTTAAATTTTTAATTTTTTTTGCTTTTAAATCTTTTTGACTAAATAAAATGGGGAATTACTTTTTTAAAAAAACATTTATAAGATTATTTAGTTAACCAAGAATATCTCGGCAATACCATATTGAATAACAATGTACTTAAAAGTATGATTTTTAAATATAAAAAAATGTTGCCCACTTGTTTTTCCATATCATATTTTGGAAGTTGTTTTCTAGAACTTGGCTAATCAAAACTGGATAAATGCCATTTCATGTTTTTCCAAGTAACAGGAAAAAAAAAAAGAGCATTTAAGTAATACTGATGGGGAAACTATCTAGATAGGTGAAAATAATTGTCATACTGTGAGGATATAGATGAATATTGCTTAGAATAGGAATTACTATACGAAATGTACTACTTTTATATAAAACTGACCAATAAATACCATGAACTAATATGGCTTTAGATTTACTCATTTGTAAATTTTGGATTTACATTTTTGTACTTCCTTTTTGTCTTGCAGCCTGTAATGTAAGGAAGAATTGCCAGTCATGCACAGGAGATAAGAAAGTAAGTTATCTTCCTTATGAGGAAATTGTTTTGGGAATACTATAAAGTCACACAATTTAGAGTTGTTATCTAAAAGGTATGCTCATCTTTGTCTTACACAATTGGAATGACTAATAACAGTTATTAAGATCTGTTTATTCCTCTCAAATCATTTTTGGGGATCTAGAAATAAGCAATGGAAATAATTTGGCAAAAACATATACTTCCTTCCAGAGAAATTACTACAAAAAGAAAACAAGTCTTTGCTTTAAAAACATGAAAATTTAAAAGAATTTTTTTTGTAAGTTAAGGAGAAAAAGTATGCATTTTGAGATATGACAAAAATGTCTTTGTGAAATCTGGTCCCTAAAGACTAGAAAGGATGACACAGCGTAGACTCTGAGAACAACACGATTCCCTTTTCTGATGGTTAGTTGCCTGGCCATCATTCTTCACTTCAAATTTGGAACAAAGCAGAAATGCCATAAACATTGAGAGAAATAATATTACTTGTACCACAGAGAGATTAGCAGCAACCTTGACAATACCATTCTAGTCTAACCTGTTTTGGAGAGCTAACAATTAACAGCAGAGACAGACATAATTAGAAAAGAGCATATCTGGTAACTGTTACCTGTCACAGTGATCTGGATATACCACTCCCTGCTTCTTATCTTCCTCCAGGTCACTCATCTGCTTTAACGACCTGGGCTCTGTCTCACGGAATTCTCCACCCAGTTCCTATGCTGCTTTATGTGCTTTACATCCTACCTTATCTACTGCACAGTTCTGGGAAATGACCATTATTCACATCCTTGTAAAATGCGTTCGTAAATGCCATACCTCACCCCACATAGATACCTACATTGATGTTTACTTTTCTGAAAAAGTGCAGGTGTGTGTGAATCTGTGTGTATGTGTCTCATGGAGTAGGGGAGAGTGGACAGGGTTATAGATCTGAATTTGGAGGTGCTAGTGAACATGTGGCTATCACCTGTCAAGAGTCCCTCAGTGGAAAGAAAAATATGAAGAACCAACATTAACATCATGGAATATTTTCCATGGCAACTATTTCCAACCCTATCTGATTGCGGTATGATCCTTCTTTTGCAATTTGATTTTTCCTTAAGAAGTCTAAGACTGAGCCAGAAGGTGGTGTGCTGGTTAAGGTACTGGACTCCCACATGGCCAACTGTGATTTGAGTCCCAGTCCTGGTGGCTTGTTTTCTCACTGTCTCTCTCTCTCTGTTTCTGTCTCTCTCTAGTGAGTGCATGGGCCCTATCGCAAACTTACAAATAATAACAACAACAGCAACAATAAATAAGATACATAGATAATTTTTTTAAAAAAGAAGACTAAGACCATTTGTAAGATTCAAGTTCCTTTATTTTTTTTCATAGTCAACTCTGTTTCTTTTCTATTGCACTCTTTTTGCCCTTAAGGAGTCAGTCTATCCTCATCTCCATGGCTGCTCCTTTAATCTTTGCCTCTATGTGTGCACCATACTTAGAAACACACGCAAATTCACAGACCCAAAGCCTTTCTCATTTCCTTATTTCCTCAATGACAAATCCAGTCTATTTCTCTGCACTGAATTTTCCCTTTCTGAGTTCAAACAAAATGGGGAAAAATCAGCTTTTTATTTCATTCTATTGCTAACATACATAGTCTGCTATTGTTTTCTTATTATACCGTGTGATTTAATCTTTAGCAAACTGGTTTAGAAGTTACAAAGACTCCATAACCAAAAGTCTAGCAACAACTTGCAAGTTATTCACTCCTTCCTTCTGGAAACTTGCTCCTTTCTGGTGATCTTGACTTTTGTTTTTTTTTTAATCTTTGTATGTATTTTGCTATAGGGCACAAGCACTCACTGGGGATAGCACACTGTAATCCTCTCCTCCATTTTTCTCTTGGGATTTTGGGCAAGCTCTCCAGAGCTACTGGGTCTGGAATCTCAACTGCATGGTTAGCCCGTGGGATCCCCACCAGCTGTCCCCTGTGGTCTTGACTTTATATACTTTCTTGCTTCTTTCTTGCTTTACCAACGTCTCGTTTTTGTATTCCTAAATGAGAGCATTCATTAATGTTGTGCTCTCATCCTTGTGTTGTCTCACCTCATGGCTTTTGCCATTACTTGCATATATGGAAATCTCAAACTCATATCCTGAGACCTAACAGTCCTCTAATAGTCATGCTCACAGTTGCCTGATTGACCTTGCTTTCTGGGTAGTTTTTTATACCCTCAAGCCAAAATTTCTCTAACTAAAATGATCATTTGTCCTTCCCCAAAGAAGCTCACTTTCTTTACCTCCTTGTTTATTCCTAATCCCATTCACTCCTTTTCCCCCCATTTTCTCATCTACTGTCCATTATATTCTTTCTACTGCAACAATTGTAGACTTCTTATACTTTCCACTCCCCCACCCACTCCTTCACCCTCTCTCTCCACTTCTTCCCGATGTCTTATCTTAAATTAGCAATCTTAATTTTGTATTTATTTCTTTTCCTGAGAGAAAGAAACTAAAACGCTAAACAGAGATTTATACCTCAACTCCCCAGACCTTCCAGTCAGCCACGGTCATGAGCTTGTGTGCTGAACGAGTCCAGGTCAGCTGAGGGACCAAACTCGAGATTTTCCGTGTAGATCCAGCATCACATAAGCAGTGCATTTGTTATTGCTGCATCAACCATCTGGTTTTAAATTAGCACTTTTATGACATTCTAGTTCCAAATAATTCAGTCAAATCCCTATTGTTAAGATAAATCATAAATCATAAACTTAGTCTAGCATTCAGAATCCATTAATACCTTAGAGAAGCTTACTTTTCAAATTTTCCACCATGACAGATTTTCACTCCCACTTCTGTGGATACCCACCCTTTGCTTCGGCCGTTCCTTCTCTGTCTAAGGCCCTCCCTTCTACTGTACAGACTTCATTCCAGACCTAGGCCAAATTCACCTGTTCCCTAAAAGAAGTCTTACCCAGTCATTCTAACTAGAAGTGAACATTTTTCCTTCTTAACTTTACTTGTGTTTTATATCTGTTTCACTCGTTTTTAAATTATAATTTTCTTCCTTTTTGAGATTAATTTTTTTTTTTTGGAGAGGTTTTTTTGCTATAGGGCGCGTGAGCTCACCAGAAAGGCAGAGAGAGACAGAGACAGAAAGTGACAAATCACCCCCCAGGGGGGGATGGCCATGCCACAATCCCTTCTCCTCCATTCTCCTCTCAGCATCTTGGACACACACGCACATGCACTCAGCATGAGTTTAAGCCACCAGGTCCGGGACTCCATCTACGGTCGACTACATGGGAGTCCAGCAACATAGCCATTATGCCAACTGCTGGTCCCGAGATTAAAATTTTTTAAGTGTACATATTGTGCCTGCCAATCAAATTGTCATCCTTCAGAAAGCAAAAAGACTATTTTATATGTCTGTATCTAGGATTTGCCCGTAAACACTTTGTAAATACTCTCTTGGTCCTGTCAGTGTCCACTACTTTAAAACTTCCCTTGGTTGAAACCAGCAGATGGCATAATGGCTATGTTGCTGGATCCCCACATAGTTGAGCATGATTCAAGTCTTGAACCTGGATGTTTCAAACTCACTCTGGGTACATGTGTGTGAGTGCCCAAAATCCCAAGAGGAGAATGGAAGACAAGGGAATGTGGTGTAACCATCCCCACTAGGGTGTGATTTCTTGCTTTCTGTTTCTCTGCCTCTTTCTGTCTCTCCAGTGAGCACACATGCCCTATAGCAAAAAAGAAAAAATAAAAACTCTAAATAAACAAATAATTAAAATCTCCCTTGGTATAATAACACCCATTTTCTATTTCTTTGACAGTATAATATTAAACTATTTGTTTTACATAATATTAACAAACTGCTGAACTTTATTATGTACCTTCTTCCTTTCTGTATTTTTCACTTCAATACTCATTATTTTTATTATTTTCATTTTAATGCTTATTAAGACTGAGTTCTATCCTAAAACGAGTACTCTTAATTTTCATAGAGCAATAGTAGCTATCACCCAAAAGCCTTTTAGCTGACTTCTCAGTTGTCACACTTCTAAGAGACTGAGGTTGGGAAGGTTTCATATTTATATGGGTCATCTTCCTTAGCTACAAGAAGAAAATCCATGTAATTTGTCTTAAATTACACATTACCAATTTAGGGATGTTGAATATATTATACCATTCCTTGGGGGAATGTGAAGTTCTGGTCTTTGAAGACTTTTTAGACTTAGTTAAGGTATTAGTCACATCTTTGTGTGGTAAGTACAGAAACTCAACTCAAACTAATTTAATAAAAGAAGAAATTCATTGGCTCACAAAATTGGCAAGTTCAGGGGTGGCCTTGGCTTCATGCACAGCTGAATCTTAAAAGATGTCATTCTCATTTTTCTCTTTCCTTTTATCTCCCAGCTCTGCCCCTGTGTACTGACCTCATTTTCTCTTATGTAAATGGACCTTCTCCGTACAGCTGGGAAAAGGCCAGCCGCCAGCAGATCTCTCCCCGTGTCTGTGTACAACTCCAGAGGAGATTCTGATGGACGCCATTTGAATCTTGCATCCAGTCCATTACTAATTACTGGGCCACAGGGCTGGACTCCCCTGAGTGGCAGTGCCTGGGTTAAATGACCACTTTGGTAGTAGGAAAGGGATGGATTAAAACTGATTGGCAGTTGCAGGACCACATAGTGTTGGGAGAAGAGGTTCACAAAGGAAAGAATATGTTTACCAGAAGAAGATGAAGAACACAAGATGGGCAGAGAGATATTAAAAAATAAACTATAGCCTGAGTATTCGTTATTCAAAATGCTTGTGACTAAAAGGGTTTTGGACTTTGGATTTTTTTGGATTTTGAAATACTTGCCTATAGATAATTGGATATCTTGGCATGGAATCCAAGTCTAAACACTGAATTCATTTATGTTTTATATGTACCTTGTACACATAGCTCAGAGGTAATTTTTTTTTGAGAGAGAGATTTTTGCCATAGGGTGTATGTGCTCACCAGAGAGATAAAGAGAGAGAGAAAGACAGAAAGCAAGAAATCATCCCCCGGGGGGATGGCTACGTTACAGTCTCTTCTCCTCCATTCTTCTCTTGGGATCTTGGGCACACAGGCATATGTGCCCAGTGTTTTAAGCTGCTGGTCTGAGACTCAAACTACAGTGGACTACATGAGAATCCGGTGACATAACCATTACACCATCTGCTGGTCCCCTGAAGGTAACTTTATACAATATTTTTATATTGCAGCATTTTCACTCCTGTCACATGAAGCCAAGAGTAGAATTTTCCACTGAGGCACATCTATTGGTACTTTAAAATTTGAATTTGGAGGATTTCAGATTTCAGATTTTTCAGTTCGTGATCCTCAGTATGTACTTCAGTTCTACTGTATTTCTCCCTTTGACCTTTCAGGACATTCATATTCTATTTTTTCCACCCCCTATTTAAAAAAAATGCTCTTGGCAGTGCTGGCAGGTGGCATGGTGGTTAAAGGTACTGGACTCCCACATGGCTGACCATGGTTCAAGTCCCAGACCTGGCAGGTTGCTTTCTCACTGACCCCCACCCCCGCCACTCTGGTCAAAGTAAAATAAATACGTGGGACCAGCAGTTGGTGTAATGGCTGTGTTGCTGGACTCCTACGTGGTTGATCTTGGTTCAAGTCCCGGACCCGGTGACTTAAACTCACACTGGGTGCATGTGTGCACATGCCCAGGATCCTGAGGGGAGAATGGAGAAGGAATTGTGGTTTGACCATCCCCCCTGGGGGTTGATTTCTTGCTTTCTGTCTCTCTGTCTCTTTCTGTCTTTCTGGCGAGCACACGTGCCCTATAGCAAAAACCTCTCCAAAAATAAAATAAATAAGTAAATAAATAAAGTTAAATAAAATAATTCTTTAAACATTTTTTTGGCACTTACCGAAAGTTACTGTCAACTACTGCTTCTAGCCCTAAGTCTAGAATCTCAGAGAGATGCGTATTACTTTTCATCAGGTTTGAATGTCTCTCCTTCAAGTCAACTGTAAACCAACTTTTGAAGGCTCACTATTTTGTAAGAGGGAAAGCAGGATAACAACTGGAAGAACTTCCATTTAGAAGAGGTCATATGGTCAATAGTCCTATAACATATTCTGAGTCTATAAAATATTCTGTTGAGTTTCACTGCTTGAGCAGTGAGTTGTTGGTCGCCAATCAGCTGCTCCAGACTTGGCCTACTGAAGGAGCTCCCTCTTCCATTATTCTCTGCTCGAATGTTAGAGAGGTACAGGAAGAATGTCTCTTCTGGGGACTGCATTGCTTTAAGAGCTCGTCTGTTGAGAACTTGGTTACTGGGGCTTGGGAATCAGCTTAGTATTTGAATAACCACTAGTTCTTCCCTGCTATGTGCAGGTTTGTTTGTTTGATTGATTGATTGTTTTTGAGAGGTTTTTGCTATAAGGCACGTGTGCTTGCCAGAAAGACAGAGAGATAGGAAGCGAGAAATCACCCTCCAAGGAGTGGCCACGTTGCAATCCCTTCTCCTTCATTCTCCTCTGGGATCTTGGGCATGCATGCACATCGCCCGTGAGTTTAAGCAACCAGATCCAGGACTCAAACCACAGTCAACTACATAGGAGTCCAGCGACATAGCCATTACTCCAACTGCTGGTCTTGCTAGGTGCAAGTTTTTTATCCTGGCAATTTATCCCCCTTCAAATCTTGTTAGAAGGCATGGGCTTGATTCATAAAAACTGTTGAGGATAACCAAGGCTAGATGTCTTTGTAGGCTGTAATTCTTGAATCTAGGCTTTATCTTTGAAGTTCTAGTCTTTAAGGAACAGTTTGAGAGGATAGGACTCATTCAGCCTTAAGTGGCTTCAGTCTTAGATTGGACCAAGTGGCTTGATTTGCCTGTTGGTGTTGGCCCATGTGAAACCAAAGCTGGCCTATAATATCCCACCTGCTCTCAGGCAGACTAAGAGGTGGGTTCTTTACTTTGGGGTGAATCATTACCTCTGTCAGTCTCAGGATATACAGGAAGTGATTGGGAGGAGTCTAGGATTAATTTTATAGAATCGAGTCCCAGCACTGAACCAAGATGCTTAGTTAGAACTCAGGTTCTCCCATTTAGTAGATGTGTGAACTTATGTAAGTCAAATATTTAACTGCTCTGTGTCTTATTGTTCTCATCTATAGAATGAACACAATATAGTGCCTAGCCCACAGAGTTGTTTTGAGGATGAAATAATTAACGTGGGGGCTGGCAGTTGGCATGGTGGTTATAAGCGCTGAATTTCCATGTGGCCAACTGCAGTTCAAGTCCTGGGTCTGGTGGCTTGCTTTGTCCCTTTCCCTTTCTCTCTCTCTCTCTGATCAAACTAAAAAATAATAATAACAAATAGAATTAAATAAATAAATCTTTTAAAAATTAATATGCATGGAAGTCTTAGGATAGTATCTGTCATACAGAAGGTCCTACGTAAATGACAGTCATTTATACCATTCTGTCCTACTTTTTTTTTGACTCTTCCATGTTCTAGTCTTATCTCCCATAATGATTTTTCAGCCTTGTGTCTTGCTGTTGTTTACTTCAAAATGGAACTTAGAGTTCAGTTATCCTATTTCCACATGATCATCTGATCACCACTGAGCAGAAGGGGAAGACAGATGAGATAAGGTGGGCTGAAAGTACAACCAGGGCCATCTGTAACAGAGGAGGAGTACCCAGAGGATAGTGGGTGCTGCTGACAAAAGGAGTGGGTAAGAGTTTTGAAAAGATTTTTTAAAGGGACCAGCAGTTGGTGTAACGGCTGTGTCGCTGGACTCCCAGGTAGTAGACCGCAGTTTGAGTCCTGGACCTGGTGGCTTAAACTCATGCAGGGTGCATGTGCGTGCGTGCCCAGGATCTTGAGAGGAGAATGGTGGAGAAGGGATTGCAGCGTGGCCATCCCCCATGGGGGGTGATTTCTCACTTTCTGTTTCTCTCTCTCTGTCTTCTTGGCGAGCGCACGTGCCTTACAGCAAAAACCTCTCAAAAAACGAACAAACAAACAAACAAACAAACAACAACAACATCTACTATAGGCCCTACTACTACTTTGTGAAATAATGTCTTGGGTTTAGTTCCCTAAATAGAGTCGAGAGACCCTGTTTCTAAGAAGAAAACAGTTCAAGTGCATGTGATTTTTGAGCAACTGCTCTGAGCAAAATCTTATAAAGAAAATGGACCTAGGAAAGATAAGGAGCCAGAATCAAGAAAAAATTGAGGGATCAGCAGTTAGCATAATGACTATGTCGCTGGACTCCCATGTAGTCGACCACAGTTCGAGTCCCGGGCCCGGTGGCTTAAAACTCACGCTGGGCATGTGTGCGTGCATGCCCAAGATCCCGAGAGGAGAATGGAGGAGAAGGAATTGCAGTGTGGCCATCCCTCTGGGAGGGGGGATTTCTCGCTTTCTATCCCTCTGTCTCTGTCTGTCTGTCTGGTGAGTGCACACGCCCTATGACGAAAACCTCTCCAAAATAAAAATAAATAAATAAAAAAGAAAAAATCGAATTCTCAGCTAAAGCCTACACTTGACCTGAACCATAGGCAACACTTGGGCAGACGGGAATCACATGGCAAAGTTGTCCCTGCCTTGAGACAAGGTTCCAGTCTTTGGAACACCATATAAGTTAGCTGCTAGCCTAATGGGACAATGACCTTCTTGGCAGGGTTCCCCCCACCCCCACCCCTGACTGAGAGCAATCATTCATGAAGAGGGGAAGCCATGAGCCATTGACAGCCAACAGCTCACTGCAGCTGAGATTTGGATGCATGGGCCTGGTATAGGGCGTTGGGCAGGACACCAAAGGCAACTACTACAAATAATAACAAAATAATGATGATGGCTGTTATTTATCAGATATTTATTGAGATAGTATTAATACTAAAAATTTGCTGGGATTGTGGTTATTATACTTGGACACTGCTTTCTTTCTTTCTTTCTAAATATAGTGTATCTGGTGCAGCGAAGAAAGAATTTGCAAAAATTATTGTTTTCCATATTTTGGGTGTCAACTCAGTTCTCTATTTTGGTTAAACTGTAGAGGTGAGTTATTCTTTTGAAAATTGTTCGGTACCTTATTTCAATTGACTTGCAAATATTAGTGATTTACTATGTTTGAAGGATTATAAATTATTATATTGGCTTTATTAAAATACAGCAAGTCCAGAGCTATTCATCAGTGTTTCCTCCACATACAGGCTCACTCACCCTAGCTAGGGTTGATTCAAATGAAAAGTAAGAATAGATTCTGAATTGTAAATGACTTACCATACCAGTTGTTAAATACACTTCATTAAAATTTCCATTTCTAAACATCTCTGGCATATGATATCCATAACCCAGCTAAATAATGTTAAATTCTGCTGCTTCGGGAATTCTAAGTGTTTCCTATAAGCTAGTCCTGGGAGGAGGGTATACTGAGTATAGTAGCATTGGTATAATTTATATTTCCTCAGCTAATGTGTTCTATACTGAGAATTGCCATTCAGAACAATGACTCCCTAGAACTGACCAAATCGTAAACACCAAAAAATATTTAAATCATATGTGTAATGTTGGATTTTTATTCATAGTATGTTACATGGTACTTACCATGGCAGAGAAACATACCAGTGCCTTTTAAGGAGTTTTCCAAAAAGCTATTGAAAATAGGGACCTGTAGGTAGCATAGTGGTTAAGGCACTAGACTTCTATTTGGCCAACTGCAGTTTAAGTCCCAAATCCGGTGGCTTGAAACTCATGCCAGTCACTTGCGCATGAGTTCCCAAAATCCTGAGAGGAGAATGGAGGAGAAGGAACTGCGGTGTGGCCATACCCCTAGGGGATGATTTCTTGCTTTCTGTTTCTCTGTCTCTCTGGTGTGTGCATGTGCCCTATAACAAAAATCTCTCTCTCTCTCTCAAAAAAGAAAAAATTAAAGCAAAAGGCTTCCCACCTGAACCTTAACTATATGAAAAAATCCAATCTAGAACAACTAGTTTATTTTTTTCTTAATTGAAATGAAAAGATAAAAATTTTGCCCTTGAATTTGTTCCATAATTATACCTACTATGTAAGTGCTAGTAGGTTTATTTAACTCATATGTGTTTGTAGCTTATAAAGGAATACACTTCATATATTTGGTATGAATAGAAGCTCTGGTGTCCTATTTCACGTTTTGCCATTCTAGCGTCATTTTACCGTACAGCAGGCTAAAAAGCTACTGAGGGAGGAAAAAGTTTACAAGTGCTAAAAAAATCTGCTTCCTGGGACCAGCAGTTAGCGTAATGGCTATGTCGCTGGACTCCCACGTTGTCGACCGCGGTTCGAGTCCCGGACCCGGTGGCTTAAACTCATGCCAGGTGCGTGTGCGTGCGTGCCCAAGATCCCGAGAGGAGAATGGAGGAGAAGGGATTGCGGCATGGCCACCCCCCGGGGGGTGATTTCCTGCTTTCTGTCTCTCTGTCTCTCTGTGTCTGTCTGGCGAGCGCACGCATCCTATAGCAAAAACCTCTCAAAAACAACAAAAAAATCTGCTTCCTGAAAAAGGATTTGTTGTCTCTTTGATAATGAATTGCTGAAATTTAAATTATTCACTGCAGTCTATGCATATCTTTATAGTAATAGCAAACTGAGAGATTTGCTATTTTATCTGTTAAGATAATACCAAAAATTAGCTTCAGGTCAAGTAAAGGAAAAGTAAGCTAGTGGCCCAATGGTTTACCAATTTGAAGATAAAGGAAGTAAATTACATCTTTAGTAGCTCAGATTATTATAAAAGATTAATGATTATTGTTTTAATGGTAGTTTCATTAGAATATATGATGCATGTTATTGTATCATTTTCAATAATGATTTGTGAATTTTAAGAATCAGACTGCATGACATTAGAAAAAATGAAGATGTAAGCAATCATCGATATTCTGTTAATTTAAAATGTATTTCTTTTCATGCATTTCAGTTGACATGTTTGGAATCCTGATGCTTCTACTCATTGCAATATTAGTAACAACACTCATTTGGTATTGCTGCGCCACTTACTTTTACATGCAGGAGTATGTTCACTTTATCCTTAGTAAGAATGCACTTTGGGATATATCATAGAAGAGAATGCTAAGCTAGTGATCGGGAAACGTTTTACCTTTCTTATGTAATAAAAATAATATATTTGCATGGTAAGAAAAAACGTTCAAATAGTACAGAAAATGATAAAATGTCAAGAAAAAGTTCCTTTCCTATCTCCCACTATACCTCTACCACCTCCTTCTCAGAAGTAACCTCTTTAATATGACTCTATGTATAGTTGTGCCTTGTATTTGAATTCGATGGTTCTATCTTCTGTTTGTGATTTATTAACTTTAAATATTGTGTATTGACTCACACCATAAGGAAAGCTAAAAAAATGATCATGAACTATCCATTTTTTTTTTGTTATTTGCTGATAGTAGATATTACCAATGTAATTCTTGTATTTTAATTATTTTTTCATTGTGTTTAGTGATTTGATCTTGAGGTTACTAATATTTCTTCAGCTGATTATCTTTCAAACTTTCAGCAATCTATTTAATCCTCTGTATATCTCAGTCCTTCTCCCATTAATTTATATCCTTATATTTCCATCCATCATCCCCTTTCTCTATCTTCTACACTCTAAGTTTTCTTTTTAATTTGACCTGGTCAAATGTACAATATTGATATTCTATTTGGAAGCTTTAATTCTACCTTGCATTAATTCAAAGATCACTGTATTCTGTCAGAGGATTTTATCTTATTAAGAATTTACTACACTTCATAATCCAAAGATCCTGGTTGGGTTCTAGAAAAATCAGTCTTTTCTTTCAAAAAAATACTCTTGCATGAGCAGTGAAGCATCAAAATATTGTTACAATTGATCTAAGAGTCCTGTTTCTCAGCAGAAATTATGAAAATTAAAGAACTTTAAAAAGTTTAAATTTGGGGCCAGCAGTTGGTGTGGTGGTTGGGGCACTGGACTCCCACACGGCCAAACGTGGTTCGAGTCCCAGACATAGCAGCCTGAAAATCATGCCAGGTGCCTGTGGTGTGCCCAGAGTTCCATGAAGAGAATGGAGGAGAAGGAATTATGGTATGATAATCTCCTGAGGGGTGATTTCTTGCTTTACCTCTCACTGTCTCCTTCTCTCTCTCTCCTCTCTGGTGAGTGCATGTTCCCTGTGGCAAAAACCTTTGAAAAAAGTTCAAATGTCAGAGAATGTAAATGTTTCACTGCCTGTGTACTCAGTGCTTCCTTGACTCTAATCTGTTCTCTCAGGAATATAATATTTGCTGAGCATTTATTATACACTAAGCAATATTGTTGTCACTAGGGATATAATGGTGGACAGGATCATGAAACTTACATCCTTTTTTGTTTGTTTAAAAGAATTATTTTATTTAACTTTATTTATTTACTTATTTATTTTAATTTGACCAGAGAGGGACAGACTGAGAGAAAGAGAAAAAGTGGGGGTGGGGAGTGAGAAAGCAAGCCTCTAGGTCAGGGACTTAAACTGTGGTTGGCCATGTGGGAGTGTCCAGCACCTTAACTACCACACCACCACTGGCTCCTGTCATCCTTCTTTTTAGAGATATTTTTACTATAGAGCATGTGCACTCACCAGAGAGACAGAGAGAGACAGAGAGATAGAAAGTGAGAAATCACCAACCCCCCGCCCAGAGATACCCCCACCACAATCCCTTCTCCTACATTCTTGTCTCAGGATTTTGGGCATGAGTTTTAAGCCACTGGGTCTGGGACTCGAATTGTAGTCAACTATGTGGGCCAGTGAGGTAACCATTACACCATCTACTGCTCCCAGCTTACATCTTTTTTACATTATCTTTTTTTCATTTTTATGTTTAAAATACAAAACATAAAGTTATTAATTCTGTTATTACTTTTTAAATATTTCAAATGTGATTATATTTATTTTAATTGTGTTTTTCTTAAGCTCTTTAAATCCCTGGTGGATAAGTAAACAAATACACATATAAATAATAAAATCAGTGATAAATATTAAATAAATGTAGACTGTCAGTAAGATAAAATAATTCCTACTATAGCCTTATTCTGAAAATAAACCTAATTCTAAATTCACTATCATTTTGAACAGAAATCGAGTGTATTTTCATGGAAGAGGAGAAACAGTTCCTATTCACAACTGGACTGCTACTGGCAAGTGTTTTTGTTAATTTGCTAGTATGTCCTAGACTTTCAGAAACTAACAGCTGGAAATCTTTCTCTTACATGTTCCAGATACCAAAATTAAAGTATGAGTAGGAAACCTGACAACAGATTTCAGTGTCCTTTTTTTTAAGATATATTTTTGTAATCTTGATAGCTCAGCTAGGATTGATAAAACCATGATAGTGATAGAGAAGAGGTAAAGTTTTCCAACCCAGTTGGGGATATTAACCCCAGTTCTCTCAGTTTTCAGTGAACAAAGCAACTCAACAATTGCTATAAGGCTCTTGGCAGGCTTTTCCCAGATTAATTTACTTTATTTTACCTAGTAATATAAAGACAATTATTTAGTAAAATAATTAAAATTTATTATTTTATTAAAATAATTTATTTAAATTATTTTAAATTTGATTATTTTTAAATAATTTAAATTATTTAGTAAAATAAAGTAAATGCATGACCCTCTATGCATTCTCCTCAAACACTTTGGACTAGAAACAGGGTAAACCTTGTAGGTTCAAGAAGGGAATGTTAAGCATGTAACACACTCCATTGCCAACTCCTAGATATCGTTATATATAAATTGTTTTGGTGATGATAGGAGCATGTGTTTCAAAAAGCAATTTCAAAAGGTGAGCTGAAGTCCAGGGTGATTGCTGCTTCTTCCTAGGTTGAAATCAAACGAGAGGACTACAGAGATTGATGTTGCATTTCAATTTTTCTACCTCCATATTAAATTCCACAGCACATTGACCCAGAAGAAATGCTTGAAAAGAGCACAAGGTTGGATGTTTATTTATTTGAGGTAGAAATAGTAATCTATTCACAGATTGAGACTAATTAGATTTACTGTAGGGAATGCAATGTGATTGAATTCACAAGGCAAGATTATTTTCTACCCAGGAGAAAGCCCAAGAGAAATGCGTACATTAAGGGTTTAAACAAGGGATCAGGATCTTGCAAAAGGAATTGAGAAGATGGAAAAGTGGGAGACAGTGGTGTCATAAAGATCGACAGAGGAGGGTCTGATGTGGAGGGAGAGATATTCATGATTGGCCTTTGGACTTAAAAGTTGGGAAGTTACTGTCAACTGTTTTGCAGTCTTAAGTGCTAGTCTTAAGAGTTTATGCAAAACATAGAATGAACAGACTTCTCATTTGTGGAATAGGAAAATTACTGTGTGTTATTTGATCATGATGCTCCTTGCCCACAAAGTTATTTGCCAAGGGTGGTGGTAATAGCGTCTTCTTGGTCTACACTTCTTTCCTAGGAAATGGGTACAGAGGTAGCATGCTAGGATTAGGGATTCATTGAGCATCTACAGATTCCCTGTCACTGGAGACTAGTCTTGTCCTCATATAATATTTGACCTTTTCCTCTTTATCAAATTCATACTTCAGTTACTTGATCCCTAAATACTGAAAGAGCAATCATATTAAAAATCTTATAATAGAACTTTTTGCTTATTTATGAATAATTTGTGTTGAACATATAAAAAAGTGAATGTCTTCTTGACTTTTAAAAGAAATAATTCAAAGAAGTAAATTGATTTTCTCTTCTCATAGCATATTGTGAATAGTTAAAAAAAAAAAGGAGAGATCTTCTAGAAAGAGAAGGAAGACTTTCTTCAATGGTAAGGTTTCAAATTACATTGCAAGAATTTTTGGCATGCCTTTTCCCCCCCTTATTAAGGAATTTTTCAGGAATGTAAAAAAAATTAAGAAAGAAAATAGAAATCAAAGTTGTAAAATGTAGACAGATATTCAGTGCCAAAAAACATGTAAGAGAAGGCAGCAGACAATGATCTCTGATATACAGTGATTCCTTGAGTCAGGCTATATTAGTTGAGGTCTGGGCTCCGTTTACTATTACGTTGGATGACTAACTTGGCCTGTCTATGTCTTAGTTTCCTCATTTATTAATATTATCTAACGATGGTGATGAAGCTATTGATTAGGTAACTCTGAGGATAAAATGAGGTTTTTAATGTTTAAAACTGTCCCTGACCGTAAATTCTGTCTAAGTATCAATTGTTATTCCTGTAATTACAGAATCTCAGCCACAAAGGCACTTTCAGGTCATCCTGCCCAGTTCCTCACCTTCTCACCTAGAGCGAGCATGCTTTCATCAACATCTATGGCATGTGGGATAATAGACAGCTAGGGACTGCTTCTTAGATTATGACATAGTTACAAATTTGGCTTTGATACAAAATGTGGGTGTGTGTATGTACATGTGCACATTTGCTTTATTTTTTTAAGAGGTTTTTGCCTTAGGGCATATGTGCTTGCTGGAGAAAGAGACTGAGACAGAGACAGTGAGAGGAAAAGTGAGAAATCACCCCCTTGAGGGGATGGCCATGGTGTAATCCCTTCCCCAGTCTTCTCCTGGGGTCTTTGGCACACATACACATGCACCTGGCATGAGTTTGAAGCCACCAGGTCCAAGCTATGGTTGCCCATGTGGGAGTCCAGGCAACATAACCATGATGCCATCTGCTGGCCCCTGCACATTTGCTTTCTAGCAACGTTAAACACACAGAGAGACTTTTATTGCCATGTCCTACACCCAGTTGCCCAGCAAAGAGACTCCAAGCTGCAGGCTTAATTTTGGAGTCATTGTGTTATGTGTTCTGAAGTAGTAAATTAGGTTAATTGTGAGGAAGTGGAAGGAGAATGTAGGTGACTTCCAGAAGCCTACAAGGATCCCTAGTGGCTAGAATGATCTCCAGGGAAGAGAGAATATATACCGGTTTTAAAATTCAGTAACGCTAAGTGAACCAGGTATCATTCAAACTGGAGCCATTTTATAAGTGAATAATCAGTAATGTGTTGAAAGGACAAGTGTAAACCAGGATTTGCTCTGCAAACACGAGTAAGAAAGTCATGGTGGTGAAAGAAAGTCACTGTAGTGAGGGAAATGTGAGCATTTATTTGTTGGTGGTGGGATTGAGCATCTATACAAACTTTTTAGAAGGCAATGTCTCAGTATCTATTAAAATTTGCATTTCAGGGGTAGACTTTGACTAGGTAATTCCATTATTAGAGATTTCTTTTCCAGTTATAGAAACATTTGTGTAAGTCACCAAAGTTATAATTTTAGTTGAACTTTATGAAATTTCTGGGTTTTGTCTATTTGTGAGTGCTAAAGGGGCAATTTTATATCATTTAAATTAATAAAATGTTCAGGAGTTGATTTAGGTTTTGTGGGGCCTAAAGCTTATATAATTTGAGGACTTCTTTTAAAAAAGAATTTTTAAGATCTTTGTTTTTTAAATTTTATAAAAATATTTTATTGTGATAACACATATTTAGGGCTTTTCCCAACACTATGAAAAAGTAAGGGCAAATGAGAACTCCTAAAACTTAAATTATACTATGCAAATATGTATTTTGTTAAATTACTAAATATTTTAAAAATCAGAAAACTCATTTTCTTGACTATACTTGAATAAGAATGGCACTGCGATATATTACATATGGAGATGTAAATTAGGGTGAGAATTCTTAAAAGCACTTTGTTAATACATAGCAAGAGCCTTAATTTTTTTTTTTACTCTGTATCCAAATAATGTTATTTTGGGGTATCTATTCAGTGAAATTAACCTCAAATTATTTTATTTTTTTAACATTTAGCTCTGTGATCTATTTGGAATTAATCACGGTATTTGGTATCAGATTCAGATCCAATTTTATTTTTTTTGGAAATGGCTATCCAGTTGTGCCAACATGATTTATTTATTCTTATTTTATTTTTATGACTATTATTTTAATTTGTCAGAGAGTGCATATACTAGCTGGAGAAAGAAAGAAAGGGGAAGTGAGAATACACTTCTCATGGAGTATGGTCTCACTACAATTCTTTCTCTTCTACCTCTCCACACTTTTGGGATTTTGGACACACACAGCAGGCCTGGACTTTTCTCTAATCCACCTGGTCTGGGACTCTGAACCATGAAGTTGTCATGTGGGATCCAGCTGCCTTATCAAACAGGTCATGGGCTGATCCTTATTATTATTTTTAATTGAAAAATAAGATTATATATATTTATGATATATAGCATGATGTTTTGATATACATATATATGTATATGCATACACACACATACAACAGTACTTCAAAAAGGTTTTTAAAAAAATGTATGGACTTCAAATTTTTTTTGCACCAAAAATTTCATTTTTCCATGAATGTTTTGAAGTCCTCGTGTGTGTGTATGTGTAGAAAAGACTAAATCAAGCTAGTTAACATATTCATACCTCATATACTTTTTTTTTGTAGTGAGAACATTTAAAATACACTCTTAGCAATCTTCAAGTACACAAACACATTATTACTAATTGTGTCTCCATGTCAAGCAGTAGACCACCAGAACTTATATTTGCTGTCCAACTAAAATTTTGTATCCTTGACCAACATCTTTCTAATACACCCCAGCCTATCTGCTTTTGCCCAGCCTCTGGTAATCACCATTCCACTTTTTTGCTTAAAATCCCACTGGCTATTTAGGATCTTTTATGGTTTCACATGAACTTTAGGGTTGTTTTATGTGAAAAATTTCATAGAGTTTTAATAGGCACTACATTGAATCTGTACATTGTTTTTGAATATGGACATCTTAATAGCATTAGTTCTTCTACTCTACAAACACAGGATATCATTTCATTTATTTGTGCCTACTTCAATTTGTCTCATTGTTTAATAATTTTAAGTGTAAATATCTGTCACCTCTTAATTTTTCTGTTTCTTTTTTCTTTTGTAACCATTATAAATGAGTTTGATTTTTGATTCTCTTTTATAGATAATTATTAGTATATGGTAATGCTATAAATTTTTGCCTGTTGATTTTGTATCTTGCAACTTTACTGAAATTGTTTATTAGTTCTAACTTTTTTCTTTCAGTGAAGTCTTTAGGGATTTCTATGTATAAGATTATGTCATTTGCAGAGGTAGTTTAAATTGTCTCTTTCTGATTTGGTTACCTTCCATTTCTTTCTTTTGCTTAGTTATTCTAGCAAGTAGTTCCAATACTGTGTTGAATAGAACTAGTGAGGGTGGGCTACATTGTCTTGTTCCTGATCTTAGAGGAAAATTTTTCAACCTTTTACTGTTCAGTACGATGCTAGCTGTGTGTGTGTCTCATATAGCCTTTACTGTACTTAGCCACATCCCTCCTCAACCTCCTCCTCTTCCT